CTCCCCACAAAAATCTTGCCATAATAGAATTTAAAACTTTCAATACCGAAGCAGGAATTCTAAATATGAATACAAAATAAATAGGAAGAGAACATAACACTGACTTTACAAACATTGTTCTACCAGTCAGCGAAAGAGACCCAACTTTCTATCCGGCCAGTTTTAATTGAAATCTCTTCACCATTGGTTCCCACAAAGTTGTTGAATTCCTCCTAGCTCCAAGAGGAATTCCCAGATAATCAGATGGGAAAGAACCAACCGAACATCCAATAGAATCTGCCCATTCTTTTAACACCCCCTCCTCCACATTAATCCCATAAATATTACTTTTAACCAAATTTAATTCGAGACCCGATAATAATTCAAAAATTAACAATACCTTCATATCATTCTTCAATTGATTAACCGAAACCCCACAAAAAATTAAAAGGTCATCAGCAAATTGTAAATGGGAAAGATCAAAAGCATGACCTTGTTTCCCTATGGTAAAGCCAACAAACAACCCCAAATTAACAACTTTTGACAACAATCGATTAAGAAGCTCTCCCACCAAGTTAAACAACAAGGGTGATAGGGAACACCATTAACGAAGACCTTTAGATATTTTGAATTCCTCCGTTGGAGAACCGTTTACTAAAACAGAAACCGAAGCATATGAAATACATTTTTGAATCCAGGAAATCCATTTTTCACCAAACCCCATTAGCTCCATGACCTTTATAAGCAAAGACCAGTCAACTAAATCATATGCTTTCCTAAAATCAACTTTAAAAGCAACACGGGCTAGTCCTTTTCTCCTCCAATATTCAATCCCCTCATTTGCCATGAAAGAATAATCTAAAATTTGTCTACCCGAGATAAAGGAAAATTGTGAAGACCCAATTAAATACTCCATGCATCCTCTAAGTCTTCTAGCCAATGTATTCGAAATGATTTTATAAAGACCCCCAACAAGACTAATGGGACAAAAATCATCAATGCAATATGGATCCACTTTCTTCGTAATCAACGTAATAAAAGAGTGGTTAATACTACTCTTCCATTATTTTCCAGCAAAAAAATCCCTGCAAAACCTCATTACATCTGCCTTAATATATCCAATTTTTTTAAAGAATCCCAAATTTACCCCATTTGGCCCTAGAGCTTTATTCGGATTCGACTCTGCCACAATACCTCATATTTCCTCCTTTGTAAATTCTACTTCCATCCTTTGAGCCATATCTGGACACAACTTTGTAAACTCTACATTTATCTCCATTGCCTCTAAAGTTTTTATTGAGTTATAAGCCTCTTTAAAATGATGCTAAAAATGGGCTCTAATGACTTCAGGATTCGAGCACTCATCCCCTTTAATCTCAACGAAAAAATGGAATTCGCCTTACCCCTTTTTGTTGCACATTGATGAAAGAATCGAGAATTACGGTCCCCTTCCAAAAACCATTAACACCTCGATTTTTGATGCCAAATCCGTTCTTCCTTTTGATATAGTTTTCATAACTCATTCTTTGCTTTACCGATCCGATCGAAGTTCACCAATTGCGAACCCTGCTGCCTCGCCAATTCCATCTCATGTATGGGTTTTTCCAGCTCTGCTATTTCTTTTGATAGTCCACAATGATTACTTCCTGACCATGTTTTAACAACCATCTTAACCTGTTTCAGTAACCAAGATAGTCCTCTACGTCTCTTTCTCATCTTCAAATCCCCAAACTTTGCTTTTATCATTTCCTAAAAGTTCACATCCTCCAACATATAATTAAATAATTTAAATGGTCGAAGACCCAATCAAATGACATATTTTTCAACAAAACAAGATTATGGTAAAAAACAGAACGAGGAAGCAATAATTGAGAAATTCTTGGAAACAAATTTAAAAACACTAAATCCACCAGAAATCTATCTTACCTCACAACCGATTGTTCATCTCTATTATTTCCCAAGTGAAAGTATCACCACTCAATGGAGGATCTATCAAATCCGACATTTGAATAAAATTCGAAAACACCTTCATTGAATGTAAATTTTGAGTTTTCCCAAGTTTCTCTTTGGGGATCAAATAAGAATTGAAATCTCCTCCTACACAAATAGGTCCAGTAGCATGTTCCACAAACGATAACAAATCACTAAAGAAACTTTCCTTTTCCGGTTCAATTATAGGACCATAGACATTGACATACCAATATTTAAAACCATAATATTTAAATTTTCATAAATCAACAACAAATCTTCTATTCACAACCTGGTCAAAGACATCGATATTCTCTTCATCCCAAAGAGTAAATAACCCTTCTGCAATCCCCACTGAAGGTGCAACCACACAACTTTATAAAATCTCCCTCCCACACTCCTAAACAATGATTGGTTCATCATTTGCACTTTAGTTTCATGCAAGAATACCACTAACAGTTTATTTTTCCTTTATCTTTCTCCTAACCACCATCACCTTCTCATTTCTCCCTAAACTTCTCACATTCCAAGACAAACACGAAAACTTCAACATTAATACAAATACAACCCTTATAGGATAAAACGTCTAACGACCACCCTCTTCCCCAAACCTTTTTCTTATTTGAGCTAATTTTTCCGCCACCGTTTTTCCCTCTTAAAAGATATACCTAAGAGATTTCCCACCTCCCATGTAGCATTAATTTCTTCATCCTCTTCTAGTATTACACAAGTCCTGTCACCCATTTCCGATTGGCATTTCTCTCTAACTGATCCATTGCACTCGGAAAGTGAAGAGACTCTTTCCAATACTTTTTCTGTCGAGATACTTGTAAAACCAATATTATCTAATTCTTTTCCTCCAGCAACTCCCGCCTTATCCACACAATCCAGATCACATATTGACTCTGTTCTACCTTCCCTGTTCTTCCCAATACCCATCATCTGTAAATTGATAACCCCCTCAACTGTTATTATTTTTAACATGGGAAAATTGGGCTCACTGCTTTTTTCAGAATGGGCTTGAGCACTACCCTCCAAATTCAAATTTTCCCTCAGACTAATCCCCTCAAAGTCTCCTCTATAAACCCTACTTAAGTCAAAAAATTCTGACACGCTTCTCTCATTATGTTTCCCATCATATCCATGTTTCGTTGACATCAAACTCCCACAGCTGCCATTATTTCCAGCTATCCCAATCCCATATTGCCACGTGTTGATCCTTAAACGTTTTTCCTTAGCTGACAGTTCATCTCCTTCAACCACCCCAACATCTCTAACTTCTTCCTCCTTCTCCATCACTGCACCATCATCAGACCTGTACTCCAATCCCACCTCTGATATTAATTCTGACTCTACAACAAAATTCTTATATGGTGACCCTTTTTTTATAGTGACTTTGTATGATCTCCCATATGCAACTAATGTTACCCAATCTGGCACGTCGAAGGGGTTTGCCACCCTCATCAGCACCCTCCTGTTCAACGTGTAATCCTAAATGCACTTCAATTTCCCCCATCGCCCAACTAGCTTTTCCATGAAAGAAGCATTCCAACATATCAGTGGTATGCCATAAAGTTCCACCGAACAGAATGCCATTGGAATACCTCCTTCATTCACCAGTGGTTCCAACCAATCAAACCAGAATATTAATTCCTCCTTCTTCAACCAGGTCTCTTCATGTTCTTTTGCCGAACCAAAGGTGACAATGCAGGATCTCTATGCATAACCCATCTGGCAACCTTCACCTTTATCCCATCACTTTCTATACCCTTTTGTACCAGACCCAACTCAAATAATGGTTTAACGATACATGTTAAAGAACATTTAACCCAATCCGAATCCCCCGAGGGGATCGATTGCGAATATCGATTAATGAATATAGGAATCTTTAAGTTCATGATGCTATTCTTTAGGTACCAGAAACGAAAGACACAAATAACGAGTCATTATTGACCATCTCAACTTGTCCAAAAACTTGAACATTAAAGCATTTTAGTAGGAATTCACACTGCAGCAGCGTCTCACTTTATGGTAATTCAATTAACAGCTTAAAAGTAGGATTGGAAAAGAAGAAGTGCCGCTTTACAACCTGTCTTCCCTTAAAGAAAGGTGAAGGTGCTGTGGGTCTATACCTGAGTCATACTGGACCATCTACCAATAAATATAGCCTCTACTGTCCTTGTTCTAAGTCCCCACCCAAATGAAGATAGGTCTATGTAGACCTCACCATCAGCATCGGTCCGATGGGGCGTGATTTACCGAGACAAAGTCATGGTCAGTAGACCCAAAAGTTTGGTGCTTTTGCTTATGGAGATAACATTAGCTTTGGCCACTGAAATGTGTGTCAACTTCATTAGTTAGAGAATATGCCTCCTGGATATTATAGTTTGATCTATGAGATCTGACAGCGACATCATTAGGGTGTTTCTGAGAACATAAACATCTTGGCATGTAAAACTGCAAAAACGTTTCGAGTTGGAAAATCTTTTCCAGATATATTATGTCTATCAGAAAGTAAACAATGTTTGCAAATTAGTTATTATGATGTCTGAAGATATGATTGAACTGACATGAAGAAAGAGGTGTTTCATGTTCGGGTCCAGCTGATTGTATTCGGTGCTCGCCGACGGTTTAATATCGGCTAGGTAAGTCTTAGACTACATTCTAGTAGTAATATTCTTCTGTAATATGCACCGGGAATCAAGTTTCTCTCGAAAGTCCTTCCTCCTGATGATTGATATGACTAATCATCCTAACTGAAGGACTTAAAGAAGCACAGATTAAAAGGATTGATCTTGACTAATCCTGCTTTTCCTAAAACTTCTTTCCAAAGTTTGTAGTCTGAACTCTAAAGAAGTTATAATTGACTTCATCTCACATCATCTACCACGTAATCAACTAGATTCTATAAAATATGCACCTCAACATTTTCTATATAAATCTATATGGTCCCCAGTGTAATTTTCTTGGGCCAATATATGTTGTATGAATGACTATGAAACAGTTGTCTGAACTTAGACCATTGGCAATTAAAATTAAAAGAGTATCAGAGATGAACTTTATGCCCTGTATTTATTGCCACTCATATACATGGCAAAGTAAAAGAAAACGAAGTTTATCTTATTGGAATTGGGAAGATAACCGATTGCTCAAACTGTTACAGGTACTTCCAACCAGCTATACAAAACTGCTTATACCACAAGTCACTCAAGGTAAAATAACTCAATACAAAGCGAGGAGGGAGTTTCCTCCATTTTGCCGATGGGACGCAAACGCGAGGAAGATAGTTGTAGCTTATAACAATCAATTTGGCTGTAATGTAATCCTAGCTGTTGAACTTCTGTTCGGCAGCGCTTGCTGAGCCCTGCAGCAATCAATGGCACAGAACAACAGTGAACACATTGCAAAACAGAAGAAATCTTTTACATGAAGAAATGGTTACAAAAAAGGGGCTCAGGGTGAAGCTATTATATCGGCCCAAAATATCGAGCTGAGAACATACCAAAGGGGTGAGATTAACAAGTATAAGCTTTCAATGACTTCTCTTGGGATAGTTACACTCACAAGAAAAACTCAGATTGTCTTTCTTGTACTTTATCGATTGCTGCAATGATCTTAGACGGCAATATATACTTGGGATCAGAGTATAGAATCTTGCAAGCGAATTTCTTATCGCATATTGTCCATTTTTTGTTTGCATTACAGGTAAAATGGAACTGTGTAATCTGATTATATGATTAGATAGTACGGTTTCACTCGGTACTAAGAAGACGATCACTCGGTACTAACCCCAACTGATGTCACAAAATTGCAAACTGCACATTTGACAGATCTTGCTCCATACTGGTACATTAGCAACATCCTGCAGTTCCCACAATTTACATGTGCCACCTGATTTGCTGTCAGAAAAGTGAAGGAAATTTTGAAGCTTTCACCAAAACAAAATATAGTTGTTCAATTGGCATCATAATTTGTTTCACATACCTTCCAAGGCCAGATTGACAGTGTGACAACACGAACATTGAACACTCGTTGCTCCACGGATGTACATTAATAAGGTATGGCAGCCTCCACAGACCAACTGGGCCATTTCCGTGCCTGTAGTTTCAGAATTTCGAATTACATTTTACACATAGGCCTTCCGGAAAGGAAGATCCAGTCGATTTGGTGTTTCGAGATTTCATAAACTTAAAAAGTTAGGAAGAAAATAGCAGATGATTTACCGGGAGGCGGCACTGCTGTAACTGCATTGCAGACAGCACAGCACACAGAGGTTGCTCCAACAGGATAGAGCAACAAATTTCGACAACCGGAACAGACAAGCTGGCTTTGAGCACCTGGTGACATAGATTTGGTCACAAGATCGTTTGACAATGGAGAGTAAAAAGAGGGTAGAAATAAAACACAATAACATTTGTAGATGCACTAAGATAGATTCATCTGCAACAAGCATATCAGAAAAGAAAAGGAGGACGAAACGAAATCGAAGCAGACACCCTGAACCAGATATCTCAGAAAGTAATATTTATTGGTTGGACCATTTTCTCCTCTTTATTTCAGCCAACCAAAGTTTCTTAAGGAGAATTCACATTGTTTCAAGATAAATCTGTTGCAGAACAGAAGAAAAAGAGAATAAGATACCATTGGCAGCAGGAGGAGTGTAAGGCGCTGGAGGTGTCGGACACGGCGCAAGGGGAACTGGCATTGTAAAATCAGACAGAGCTAAACTCTCCTTTCAATAATTCACTGCCTTAGAACCAGACAGTACCGAGCTTTCTCCCATACTTTCCATGACAGACAAGAAACACAACATAAGAAACACTTGGAAATTGCAACCATGGTCAACTCAGAAATTGCCTAAACATGAAAACAGAACCGACTATAATCAAAATTATACCAGTTTTAACTGTGAGAGACGAGGGAGAGTTGCATAACCAACAAAATCCTGAAAAAACACACCCAATTCCCAATTTGGAAACTTTGCTTACATAGCCATACGAGATGGTAGTTCTTAAGGGATATGTAAAGGGAGAGAAAAAAAGAACAGAAGCTTCAGGATAATTGATAAACAAAGAAACTCAGTTGAATGATTATGAAGTGGGACAAACATATAACTGTTAGCAGATGAAGAGGAGAGAAAGAGATAGAGAGAAAGGGTTAAGCATATAGAATAAAGTAGTAGTTGTTGTAATGATTCTCCTTTTTTTACCATGGTCCTTATCAGTTCATCTTAGGGAGTTAATATCCACTAAGAGCTTTCATTTTTATCCTCACCAAAACTGAAGCTTTCATCGTCAAAAGGAGATTTTTATTGTTTTCCTACTTCAGTTTGTAGTGATGAATATCCAGTATGAAACTTCATCTTGTCCCTTCTTTTTCTTCTGAATTTTATCCAATTTTAATCCCCATAAAAGATTGATTTTTTTGGTCCTTCGTGAATTAGCTTCAATTTCCCTTTTGGTGACATATCAATATCAACTTTGGGGCTAAAACTCTGGACCCCACACTCCTCTCCTTCTCTCACTGTCAATGGAACTTTTGCTTTTACAGTAAAAAAAGAAGAAAAAATGCATGGACATGAGTGTGTTGGAATAAGTCCACACTCTCCTTTCTCATGGGAGAAATGGATGGCTAACTAAACCACTTAGCCACCTATCATAGAAAAACAAATCAGGGGGACCATCTCTCAAAATTATCACCATGGGAACTTTCAATTCATACAACACAACTTAATAACTCGGTATCTAGCCAATGTAAAATTTGAATCTCAACATCTGAACCATATTCTTACTTTAAAAAAACATCGAAATACCGGTATCAAGCGAGTGTAAAGTTCGAATTTCAACATTTGAAACCTATTCTTATTTAAAAAATCTCGAAACCCGAACCTTTCTCTTATACTAAGTTACCTCTAACAGAAAAAAGTCTGACCTTTTGGTGTTGTTTCTGTTTCCCTTGCATTATTCATGGCATATAGTTTTAGATGAGTGAATGTGACAGTACCATTCTATTATCTTTTTCTGGGCTATGAAAGCTTCTATTTTTAACTATTCTTGTTTGCAGCCAAAGAACAATAATGCCTGAGAAAAGAAGAATGATTGAACTGAGAAAAAAAAACTAGGAAATCAGCGGATAAATGTATAAAGGAATAGTTGAAAAAAGAAAAGTGAGACAAAAAGGCTTTAGCTGTTAGAAGAAGAGTGGCTGATGCAAGTATGGGCAGGAGCTGTTACAAGAAGCGTGATGCCACACTCCCATTACACCTCCATTCAAACAAGCATGGGGACCTCTTTGTTTGTACATTTGTTGGCTTTTCTCCGCATTCTACACTGGATAATCTTCTGTTTCCATTTATTTGGGAAATAACGTGCTGTAATCTTAATATACAGTTAAAAAATTGTTACGGATTTTGTTATTATTTAAATAATAAAATCGGTAAAAATTACTGAAAATATTATTATTTATACCGATTTTGTTATTATTGGACGTTTTAACGGTTTTGTTATTTTTGTGCACTTTACCCAAAATGTTAAAAAATATTAATGTTTTAGGTACAAATAATAATATTTTAGATAAATTTTTAATGATTTTATTATTTAAATAATAATAAAATCAATAATGTCTTTTTTAGTTGTATATTAAGGTGTCCTTTATGGGCTAAACTGCCTGAATATTGCGTATGAGAAACTTTAATTCCCAAGATAATGTTATCAGCTTATTATTTCCCCAAATGGGGTGTTTGCTACATACAAATATGATTTCTCGGCGTCTTCATGCATGTTGGATTCACTAGAGGACCTCTCGTCGTCTTCTACTTCCCCTCCCACTTGCAACGATGCATGCTGTTAAGAGTGGGAGTTGTGCATGTGGCCCTGGCTGACAGTGGGAGCTCTGTATGTGGCCCTGGCTGATAGTGGGAGCTCTGCATGTGGGGCTCAACGTGGGAATTCACGGGGTGAGCAGGGAAATATCACGGGTGAGCAGAGAGTTGCATGGGGCTTGGGCGTTTGCTGAATATGCATGTGATTCATTAGAGGAATACTCGGCGTCTTCTTCACATTTGGGGTGGAGTACTCGGCGTATTCTTCACTTTTCGGGTGGAGTACTCGGCGTCTTCTTCACTTTTCGGGTGGAGTACTCGGTGTCTTCTTCATGGAAGGGGGATGTCTTGGCGTCTTCTTCATAATAATGCATGCACGGGACCTATTGGAAAATGTTTATAAGAGTGCTCGGGCTCGGCGTCTTCATTGTGAGATTATAATTATAAAAGCTTGGCAAGCAAAGAGAGTGAGAGGGAGGATCGACTCATCAGAAGCAAAAAAGAGTGAGTGGATATCCATCATCGTCCTAAAAAATTTGAGGTAATTTAAACTAATCCCTATATCTCATTTTCTTCTTGTTTATAGGTTTGGTGTTTCATATGTATCTCATAATATTCATTTCAACATTTAGTAATTTTGTGATTATATGTTATTACATACATCGAAATAATGATGTATATGTTGTTACATAATTTGAAATAAGCTTTAGACCATTTTGGAACATTGTAAAGTTATAGGGACCGTTTTGCAAACTTTGAGAAAGTTAAGGAATTAGATGTAAATTATTAAAAGTTGGTATACTATGCTAGAATTTAGTATTAGTATGCTTAATTGGTTCAATTTGAAAGAATTTATAAACTTAAGGATTATATTGCAAAGTTTGAAAATGTTAAGAACCAAATAGTAATTAGGAAAAGGTTATTGGATTAAATTAGAAAGTAAGGCTTGAAAATTCATGTGAGACTGATGAGTATAATATGTCAGACGAAAATGAAGTAATAACCGATCTAAGCTCCACCTACAAAGGTTGATCTTTTTATATTTGATGTTTAGTTTTATTTTTATAATTAAAGTAGTTAACATGCAATTGATTATTTGAATAAAACAATGTAATATTTGAGTGTAATATTTATATTTTTTGTCTAGATTTGTTGAAACATGGCAGAAGAAAATGTTCTTTTGAGGTTAGATGGTCGACACATTTCGAATCATTTAGGAGAACTGGTAATATGATCGACTTATTTTTTTTATTTGAGAGCGGTGAATTAATTCTAATTACATGGATTAACAAATTGCAGGATGACGAACAACGAGTCCTTCGTCCTCGACTTATCAACTGTAAGATGCCATATCAACGTATTGTTGATAATTTGAAAATAGTTGGTTTTTATGATGTTGTTTTTGTAAGAGAATTTCGGTTGATCCCCGGTTTGATAAGTGCATTAATTGAACGGTGAAGACCAAAAGCTCATACTTTTCATCTTCCATGTGGTGAATGTATGATCACTTTGGAGGATGTAGCTTTACAACTCGGGGTTCCTACAAATGGTATGGCAGTGGTGGGAAATACCGATCTTGACGTGTTTGCAATATGTGAGCGTTACCTTGGGAAGGTATTAGACAAAGATATAGCAAAAGGGTCATGATTGAGATTATCCTGGTTGGCAAATGAGTTTAAGCTCGATCTTGATTGTAGTGAGCAAGACATTATATATGCAACTCGAGCATATATATTACGGTTGATCAACGAAATCTTGATGCCGGATAAATCGAGTAATCTTGTCCATATACAATATCTTCCGTTTTTTGAGAACTTCTTTATGACCCGTCAGTATAGCTGGGGATCAGAAATATTGACGTTCTTGTATCGCGAGATGTGCAAGGCGTCATTACTTGTAAATGATGCGTATACGACTGAAATCGGTGGATGCACGATATAATTACAATCGTGGGCGTGGTTATTATTATTAAATTATTAAAGTTAAATTATTAAAGTTAAATAATTAAAGTTAAATATTATTATTAAATCATTAAAATTAAATCATTAAAGTTAAATAATTATTATTAAATCATTAAAGTTAAGTAATGATTATTAAATTATTTAATTTAAATCATTAAAGTTAAATAATTATTACTAAATAGTTAAATATTTATTATTAAATCATTAAAGTTAAGTAATGATTATTAAATTGTTTAATTTAAATCATTAAAGTTAAATAATTATTATTAAATCATTAAAGTTAAATAATTATTATTAAATTTTTAATTTTAAATCATTAAATATAAATAATTATTATTAAATATATACTCGAGTAATTGAATCGAATATAATATACAAATTTATAAAATAATAAGATTACTGCTGAGGTCTATCCTGTGGAAGGTTTGGACAATTTATTTTTGAATGACTTTCACCTCTACATAATCCACACCTCTTCGGTTGGCCTTTCTCTCTAATATGTATATCCATACTGGTATGAATACGAGTAGATTTCGGTCGACCTGTCAGACTTCTACGAAGTAGTGGATTTGGCAACCATTCATCATGATTTCGATTCTCCCAATAAGATTCATTTGGGATCGGTCTGAACTCATGGTTGTATATATTTAATATCCTCCGTCGTCTCTCCTTCAACGATGGCGAATGCAATTGGGAATATATTTCGTTGACCATCCTGCGCAACTGCTATCAATAATATATGTCTATATTGGCCGTATAATCACGTGCCATAAACTTGGACCATACGTTTGCAAAATGGAAAACCTTTTATGCATGACTTGAATGCCCAAAAGAGTCTATGGAATATTCTCTTCCCTAGAACAAGTTAACCTTCTTGGTTGTATGCAGGCATGGTCTGAGACTTCACGATGGTTCCAGGTATGAATTGTTTCATAGCTCGTAACAAATCAAGTAACTCATTGTATGATGTATCCCAATCACCATATATCAACCTCATTGCCTTCACCTTCGCATGCCAAACAGGTTTGTATTTTACATTGTATCCGAACTTGTCTCGAATAGATGCAGCTAACACCGAGCAAGGGATTCTTGGATTTTGTTCAACCAAAACCTTTACATATTGAAAAATTACATCAGAGTCCAGTAGTCGGTGGTCTTGTTCGATAGAGTTTTGCAAACATGTGGTGGACCATTGTACCTTGTGATGACCCAAGCATCTTGCCTCTATATTTTGGACACTCTGACCAGCCACTTACAC